ATAAAGAATACAGTCATACACTAGATGTAATTTTAAACATACGTACTTTCATTTCTACCTCTGTATAAGTAAAGTAGTAGTTCAGATTAAAATAACTCATTGTATTAGGTTTTCTTTACTTCCCAAGAAGATTTTAGACTCTGATTTCATTATTTTCCCCCTTAGAAGACCTATAACTAAAGAAAGAAAGAAAAAAAGAGAGAAAGAAAATTAGAATAAAAGAACTATCTATTGATAAATATTAAGCCAGAGGAAAATACTAAAATATGTTGAGTTTGGGAAAACTAGCTGATTCTTGTGGGAAAGCTGTGAATAGTTCTAAAACAGGATTTTAGATTAATTTGGCCTATATATTTTCATATAGTTTTCCTAAATGTTTCCTGTGCTAAAATTATGATTTATTGTAAATCAATGTCCATGTAGCCAGGTTTTCCCTACTCATATATATACATATACTAAAATGTATACTAAAATTTTGCAGGAGACATAACAAACACCTGTGAAATTACATTTTTAAACATTTTAATGGAAGTTCATATTTGTAAATTGAACTAATGTGGCATTTTGCTCAAGTCTGACTTGATGAATAATTATTGACAATTCAAAGGTTAAATGTATTGCATGAATGGATTTTGTAGCTTGCAATGCAATCCAAACTCCCCAGACAATTATTGGAAGAAGGCAAAGTTATTTATCAGCTTTTGTGTTTCCTAGAGCAGAGGGTGGAACCTTTTTTTTTTTTTTTTTTTTTTTGTCAGTTTTGTCAGGGATAAGAACCAGGAAAGTACGATAAAATCAAGGCTGACATCTTTAGTGCTCTCCACAATGCACCTTCATAAAAAGGTCTCCTTTGATCCTTTCAGGAGTCTTTGAGTTAGAGAAGACATATTATTCACCTCATTTTATTGAAAATAAAACAGACTCCAGGATAACAGTGGTTTGTGGAGGTCCTTGGGGACAGAAGCCCTGGGCCCCTGCAGGGAGGGGCTGAGACCCCGAGAGTAAAACTGGGGCTGGGCAGTGCCGAGCTGAGCTGCTGGAATCAACATAGGGCACCTCGCCCATGGTGCTCAGAGCCTGGGACGAAAGTCCACTGGCCCAAAGCAACCTCAATCTGAAATAGTTGTTGCTACAGGGTTATCTCCCCTCAGGGCTCATGTTCCAAGTACAATGACCAGCACAAGTCCCCAGAGCGGAAGAGGGCATGAGGAGTTGGAGGCCAGGGAAGCCACAAGAAGGTGGGCTCTGTGTATGAAAGTGGATTAGGAGCCCGAGGGGCTTGGATTTAACAGATGACTTGGGTGTGGTTGAAAGTTCCTCAGGCAGAGAGGGTTCATACAACCCTGAGGGGGCTGCGGGTATAATCCAGAAGAGAGAAAGATGCCAATTTATTGTCTTTAAGCTCTAACCAAAACTTAACACATCTTTCAAATTTTAATGGTAACAACAAAGTTTAGTAGTATTTACATTACTTGTGATTTTTTAAAATAAATATTTTTATGTCACATTGCGGTTAGAATTATAGTAAAACACAGTTTATGTATATTACTACTTCAAAATTACAATGATTGCCATTCCTGTCACTGTGTACTGTTATTCAATGCATTAAAAGAATTTTTTTTGGGGGGGAACTGGGGATTGAACTCAGGCCCTTGCGCTTGCCAGGCAGCGCTTATTCCACTAAGCCACCTCCCTGGCCCTTGCATTAAAAGGAAAAATTGAGATGAACATCCTTTCTGGTTAAAGTCAGCTATTAGTTGCTAGGCAACCTAGTGTCACATGTTACTAATTTCGTGAAAGTGTAAATAAATGACTGTTTTGTTGTGAAAAAAAAGAATAAAGTATATATGTATACACAAGATAGGATAGATATACAGCTACATCCTCTTAGTTCATTGAAAAGAAAGGTCTGTACTAATACTGTTTAGACAAGGTATCCTATCTGCATCTTGTCCCCTGAATAACTACTATGAAGACAACAGTATGCAGCGTATTAGTAACACTGCACACTATAACCATCCTACTAGCCTGTTTTGAAATGGTTTCATTGTTACTTTATCTTTTTTCTCATTAAAATGAATTAAAAGAAAAAGAAAACATTGTTTTGGTAGAGTAGGATTTAAGCAGAGTAGGATTCCTTTCTAATTTTACTTCATGTGTTAAAAATTATTTACTTAGGGGCTGAAGAGATGGCTCAGTAGAATAAGTGCTTCCCTGGCAAGCAGAAGGGCCTGAGTTCAATTCCCAGTTCCGAAAAAAAAAAAAAAAAATTACTTATAAGGTAGCTGTAGTAACAACAATCATGTAGATCTAAATTCTCTAGAACATACTCCACAAAGCATACGTGTAATTCAATAAGAACAAATAAAAGTACAGTCCATGGAGTCAGCATAACTAGAAAACACAAGTATTTTGACTGAGAAAGTAAGTAAATACATTGTAGATAACAGACACCAGCCTTGAACTGTCAGGGGTGGCGGGAGGCACCCTATGGAATTGAATTGAAGAATCAGTACGAACTTCTGGTTTGTAATATGTACAGGTAGATACAGAAATAGCTAAGTAACTTTCTAGATCTACCTAACCAATGACAATGAATTTACCTAGGTCTTAGAGCCTGATTTCTAAATATTATGTTCAATAAATAAATATTATGTTCATAGTTTTTGGAAAAACTAGTATCAGGGGTGAGTTGGGTTTGAGAAAATACAACATGAATGTGGAACATCTCATTCTACAAAGTAAAAAGTACTCAAAAGATGTTGGGGACCTGTGGAAAGTATGTGGCAGCAGGCAGAAAGGGCTCTGGCTGGCCAGCAGTGAGACAGAGGGCGTGGCAACTCCGCGGGGATCAGACCATAACTCAGTGCATGAGCACATGAGCTCATTCGGATTAGCGTCGATAGACATTGTAGGGTGAAAAAACCTTTTCTTTGGAATTACTATGCCAACTAATGTCGAAATGATGATGCAATCTGAAGGCCAACATTTGTCCCTGACATAGTAACAAAAGTTGCAGATAGGAATGACCAATATATGCCAAAACTAGTGGGTGAAATTTGGATAAAAGCCAGTAATTATTGAACCATACAGAAAGTCTTCCAAAGACACTTACGAGCAAAAAAGAGACTAGTGTTTTCACAGTGAAGAAAACTGAGAGATGCTATCTTAACCAAGTGACAAAAATTAATATTACAGTTATGGAGCAAACTAACACCATATCCTTCCTGTCACAGCACTAGGAAGGACCCGGCAGCCCTGCTGAATGTAACTCTGAGCTAAACGTGCATGGAGAAACATCTTCCAACTCTACAAAGCATATGACTCTTCAAAAATATCAGTCAAGAAGGTTAAAAGCCCAAGGACTTCCAGTTTAAAGGTGATTGGTGAAACAAGGCGAGGAAATGTCACCAGTGATCCTGGATTAGATAACATTGTTTTTTCCAGAAAGCACAATTTTTAGGTCAACTAGTATAGTACAAATAAAATTTATCAACTTGAAAACAATATTGTGCTAATATTCATTTCCTAATTTTGATGATTATACTTTGATTATGTAGAAAATATCCTGGTTTTTAGGAAATACACACTGATATTTCAAGATTAAGAAGCATAATGTCAGGGGCCAGGGAGATGGCTCAGTGGAATAAGCGCTTCCCTGGCAAGTGCAAGGGCCTGAGTTCAATTCCTGGTTTCGCAAAAAAAAAAAAAAAAAAAAGCATAATGTCATCAACTTACTT